AAAGAGACATCCTGAGTCGGTTGCAGTCAATCACCACAATTCCTTACAACCCCCTTCAGTTTGTATGTAAACCAAACAGATCTGCATCGGACACCGTATCTACTCTAATGCGTTTTTACCAGCAAATCATTAAAAAATTCGGCCAAGTCTGTCCGTTTTGTTTTTCTTGACTATTCGTCTGCTTTTGATTCCGTTTCCCGATCATCCCTTCTTTTCAAACTTGAACCTTTTGGCACTCTAAGATCGCTGGTCTCATGGCTTGCTGACTATTTTACAGAGAGGGTCCAGTGCACCATTTAGGAAGGAGGGCATCAAAACCTCCTGTTGATAATTTTGGTGTTCTGCAAGGTGCTGTTCTATCCCCATATCTTTTTTCTGCCTTAGTTATTAATCTTTCGGTCCGACCCCCTGCGCACACCCAAAAGTATGCTAATGACTTCGTTTTATGTCAGACAGTTTCATTCTGTTACTGAAAATCCATCCCACATCCAACAGTTTTCTGATCAATCTGGTCTCAGTCTTAACATGTCTAAGTGCGTAGAGTGTATGTTCAGTCTTTCTCACTCCTCATTTCCAACGGACTGTGCTACACTAAACGGTAAACCTGTACCCAGAATGCCATCAGTCAAGCACCTGGGTGTCACAATCGACAGCAATCTTCATTCTACACATATCTACAACTGTATTGGCAAACTGAGACGCCTGTCTTTGCAGTTACACAAACTCAATCAATTCCGAGCCCCACAGTCAGTCCTGTTCTCTTTCGTTCATCAATGCGTTTTACCCATTCTACCCTATCGCTCCCCTGTAGTGTTTCCCGGTCTTTTAACACAAGACTTCAAAACTATTCGCCGTGGTTTGATGATCATTAGTCGTGCATCATTAATTCCGATCGATTCATTAATCACAGAACTCATTNATTTAGATTCTAGATGACCCTCTTCATCCACTGCACCCTGATCTATCATCTTGTCGTTCCTATCCGTCCACACGCTCCTCATTTCGGCATCTACCCTCTCGCATTAACAGTTATAAAAATTCCCCTATACCCTGCCTGGCCCAACTCAACCAAAAAGGAACATGTCGCGAGTGAACTACGTCGAAAGTTTTGTACATGAAATAAATATCAGCGGCATTTTTTACCTTTCCTATTAAATCTCATTGTTATTATTTCATTCCGCGTGACGTGTACATTTTTGACTGAAGTGTAAGCATATATGCTCACACAAGTTGCACAAATACAAATTAAGCCGAGCAGATGTGGTGCGGTCAACCGCATCAGCCCAAACTATTTGTCCTCTCAACTGCCTGGTTATTTAATCTTTTTGAAGTGCTTAGAACTTTCCAGTCGTTCGGTGATTAGTTAACCGACAGAGCTGGTTGATTGGTGGGTATGCAGATCGTCCTATACACGTGCCAGTTGGACGGTTGTGTAAATCACACTGAATCTATCCATTGCTGCTCTGTGGCACAACTACAAAAAGGGTCTTTTCTATGGAAATTTCAAGTTTTCGACCCGGCGGAGAACCATACAATCTGCAACTAATCACTGGTTAGAGAATCTGTATGAAATTGTTGAGTATCGTCCGTTCTATCCACACATATCTGTTCTGTCTGCATTCTACATGGTTTCGCTGTGGCTCTCAGCGATTTACTTTTCCGTTGATCCACCAACTGGGTAGCCGCAAGATTGAAACGTTAATCTCGTTGTTTTGTAAAAGCTAAAATACAGCTGTATAATAAAAAAGGACGCGATTATGTACCGTATTTTAGTCCCCTTCCCTGGACGTTTTCTAAATACTATCGTCTGACTGAATTTTAAAAAAATGTAACACAATGCGGCGATGCAATACCTTAAGTACGCTGTCCACGGATGGGTTGGTACTCTGTTGGCTACTTCATTCGACCCTCGAACGGATTCGATAATTCCCGGGCAATCACTTGAGCAGATTAGTGTCGCACGCAAACTATCCTGGTTTTGGTTTATACATATATTTTCATGGCCTCTATAGAACCGGTTTCTTCAAACCCCATTATCGATTTGGTTAAAGGGCTATGTATCGGCTTCCCCTCTGATCCTTTTGGAGACACCGTATCACACAGATGCCATGGGAGACGTAATTGAAGTTTGCATTTCACCAAGTTAAGCGAAGCTTAGACTATGAATTTAGGATGGTTGACAACCACCTTCAGTTTTTAATCCTGAAAAATGTAGCTGTGTATATGGAATCTGTATAGTAGTATGTAGTACATATAGTGTACTGTGTTTTGATACTCTGAATGTATCCTTATTGTTGTCCTGTGATACACCTTTGTCAATCTATTCCCTCCCAACCACCATTCATTTCACTGTTCCAGTGGTCCCACAGTTCGAACAAAGTCCCGTATCGGTGACATACTTTGACGCACATTCGACTCAACCCATTCCGTTTGTTTGTCGTGCGTGGCCACCCCAACCGCTTAGCTCAATCAGTTACTACACGGCATCTCGTGTTTTTTCCCGTGGAGTGGATTCCGCAACCTCTGCACTGCACCAGCTTCCCCTCTATCCGGTTCGGGAATCCTTACTCATGAACGAATCTACGGGATTGACGATGCTCCTGTCGAATCCGGTGGAAATGGCCAGTCTGAATGAACAAGACGTGCATTGTGTGGCTAGCACCCCATTCGGATCGATTCTCAGTCCGCCTTTTCGTTTGCTTCGGGCCGGTGAGTCACAATTCGTGAGAGAGAGTGTGTGTGATCCAGTAGGGATTGATCATTGTGATTTATTTATACGATTTGTGTGTCTGTGCAATACGATTCGTGCGCATTTTCGTGTGTGTGTGTCTGTGCCTGTAAGAGTCGAAATTGATGCTAATTAAGCTTTTTTTACTCGCAACTGATCCGCTTCTGAGATACCTCTTTATTATCCTCACAATTATTCCCTTTCTGACATGAGTCTACAGTTGCACACGACTTACCAGTGAAATTACGTGTATTATGCGTTCAGTTTGAAGAACGGAACTCGATTCTTCGGAGCACGCTGGCCACAGGGCGTTGTCGCCCCCCCCCTGCAGCCGCGCTGCTCAACACAAGCCAGTCGCTAAGGTTGTTCGTTGTAGAACAGTAGTATCAAGACGGGTGAGAATTGATGGGATGCTACGAGAATTTAGACGGTTCGTGTGACAGAACACTCATCATATAAATCCTCTCAAAGGTCTATCACGAAGAAAACTAGGAAAAGCTGAAACTGGAATGTGGTTGTCCGGGACCACATGGACGTGTATTTCATGTGTTCAACCTAATCACAAGGTCTTCAACACAAAGGTTCTGGTTTGAACAGAGGTACACACACAGTTCGGCAAACCATTAACTTATCGGGTCATGAGAAATAGATTTATTCTAGAAATTCAGACCTCGGTCTGGGTAATGTTTTTCATAACCCCGCATGGAATTCCCCGGGAAGTGAGATAATTTAGGGCGACCTCTCACCTGAGAATAATAAATAGGCTTCATGAATGAATCCACGAGGATGTTTGTTACTGATCCATTGCAGTTTGGGCGCAATTAGACAATGAAGTCGTGATCTGTGCAATGCACTTGAGATTGATTGTGAATCCCGAAGAGAACTACCGGGTCCGGGCAAATGAATCTGGATCAATGGACCCACAAACGAAACACAGATGGCTGTTACCGTGATTAATATGCTTGTACCGTTTCGTCCTGTTCAGCTCACAGTTGGGGGACCCGGCCAGAACGCAATATAGAGTGCAGTGTGATCCATCAAGTTCTCGAATCAGCTGTTCAAGTGAGGCGGCCGTGTGATAAGCACTATACCGATTCATCCGGTGCTTTTTTTCTCCTGTTCGTTTTCCTGTTTCCGAATGATCGTATTTCAATCTTCACCCTCACTCGTTTAGCACCAAACGGATTACGTAAATTATGGAAAGCTTGGTAATTATTCCCAAAAACCAAACTATACAGCTTGTGCAATCTGACCAATTCTTATGGGGTATCCGTTTGTACACTTTTTTTTATTTCACGCACGTCTGATTTGAGATTGTGTCAAATAAGCCATTGTACAATGATTTTTTATAGAAAAGAAAAAGTTCTATGGTTTGCTTGTACCCGATACTACCAGACTGCCCAGGCCAGTGCAGGTGAGTTTTTCAGAGAATTCACGATCAGAGCCTTCGGCTATCCAAAGCCTGACCAGCAGGGCAGTGGGGCGGTGTTTAAAAAGTGCGTTCCATTGGGGGCCTGTGTCTAGTCCATCTAATCATTCATCCTTTGGACAGGGGCAAACGTCCAAGGTGCCCAATACATCTCCATGCTTAACTGAATCGGTGACTACTGCCATAACCAGGAGGGTGTGTGTGTGGCTTGTACACCTCTTCTTGGTTAGTTTAAGATCAGGGTTTTTAACCAACTCCGCTTTCTTGAACTGCCAGAGATTTATTGACCCAGATGTTGGCGTTTCGTCCTCTCACTTTGGCCAGAAAACACCTCTACTTCGAGAGGGCATTGAATGGGGCTGCCTCAGCAGAGACTACATGTGACGACGCTTGGTAGAATAGGAGCATTTTGCGATGCTTCCGGAGGCTCTGTCCATTTACCTCGTAATCTACCAGATCGGGATTGCTGCACGATACGGCATTTTACCACTTCTGTTGATATCTGTCGAATCTATTGTTTCCTTTCTGGTCGCGCCTTCTTCGGTTGTTCTTGTCTTTTCCCATTTTACATTTTCCGACTCAGTGTCTCACACCTGTTGTGTATAGCACGGGCACAGCTGGTCTATGATACACCGCTTCCATAGATACACTTGTGTTTACCCGGGACCACTCCTGTGGATCGCGATCACGTCCTCCAGATGATTGTACTGTTTGCTTC